TTTATCTTATCTTTCCTTATATTGTATATCATTGTATATATTACTTCCTGATGAATATCTGTATATATGGTCACTTTATCTTTACTGGTCATTATCAGTTTTGCAAAATTCTGGAGAACTTGCAAGACTTGTTTTGAGTCTGATGGCACTTTTGACACTCCATTGAGGTTTCACGATCTTCTAAAATCATGTATCAGACAGATTCTGTTCGCTCTATTGCTTTTAGCACAGCAGCAAGAAACGAAGATTTCCTGCAACATTATCCAGTGGATTTGCAAGACTTCCAGAGAAGGAAACCTCCTGGGACAGACGAGTTAACCGAGGTTTACCTGGTGGGGAAGTAGTTCGATGAACTGAGTAGTTGAACTCACTCACCAAGGAGATGTCAAGGTCCGACAGGAGGGAAAAGAACCATCCAGAAATCCAGGAAACTCTTCAGGAAGAAGTTCGATGGGAGTAAGTGTCCCTCATTGCTCGAAAACAAGTCCCAAGTTCATTTCAATCAAAACTTTGCACATTTTTGTATATATATATTTTCTTGTAAATAGTCAATTTCACATGAAATTTAATTGTTAAGCTTGTGAATTTGTTTTACTGTTCTTCTTGCATAGATTGTTGGTTTTTGTATGTCAACCAGGAATAAAATACATGGCGCTCATTTATCTTACCTTATCTAATTTATCTTATCTTACGTATATCTTATCTCATATTATCTAGTAATTATCTAAAAAAGGATTCAGATTTGCTAACAGCTTTCACTCACTCACGACCTCCCGAAATTAGAGCAGCTCATAGGCAAAATAAAGATAAATAAGTACAATCAATAAATTTTTATAAGTACAATAATTTTTATTGTACGAAATTATGTTTTATTGGTACAGTTTCTACCCAATGATACAATGAAACAAAATTTCTTTTATATAACAATGGTTTCAGCAAATAACAATAAAAAATCATTTCATTAATTGGCGAACTGGAACTGGCCCCGAGATAAACATATTATCTAGGACCGTCGGCCATTTGTGCTTTTGTCATTTTTACGGTCACCAGTTTATGAGGAAAGATTACGACCCCCTAGTAACGGTCATATGAACACAGCCAGCGTTATCTCATATCAGTGTCTATGGGGATTTTGCCGGTTCGCTGTTCCTACGCATCGTATTACAGAGAATAATCAAGTCATCTCGGCCTTAACATTTGTTTGGAATGGTATGTCGTTCATAAGTTTATGTTTCTCAAGATCGTTTGCAGAAAATTTCATGAATGGAAAATTGTGTTTACTTCCACGAGAAAACCTTTGGGCATGGGAGATAAGAACGTTTGTGTTGAATTTCATGGAGATTCAACGCAAACAGTGAAGCGTAGTGGAATTTTGGGAACATAGACATAACATTGATTTCACATTCATGACCAAGTGAATTGATTTTCGATGCGATGTTTGTATTTTATGGTATGAACGTGCTCGGCACCTACACGTTAAACAATCTTTATTGATCGATTCACTTTTCTGAGTAGTAAAATGAGGTTAGCGAATACCTAATATCGGCACCTCGAGCTCTTTACATAACATAGGGCATGCTTTTCATTTTTGTCGATCTGAAGAATACCCAAGAAACCTTTTTGTTTCGATCATTGTTGTCGGTAATTGGAGTTATGATATAACATAACAATATGGAATGTTTATCCTGAAAGAAACTGATGTATGCTGCATGATAATAAAAAGCAAGAACGTGAGGCGATCTATATATGCACCTATTATCAGGAACCTCATTTTTTAATCTGTTGGAACACAAGAATGAAAATTCCTAAGATGTTCGGAAAACATCGTACGTACCTAGGAAATATTAAAAGATGGAGGAGGTTGGTAGGTATTGGATTTTATTTGAAATTTTGAAGGTTATAAGTTCTTGCGAACACTTCCAATATCAAAGAATGCGAAAGCTATGCCGTTCTATAAACGAACTAGCTCTGATGAAGTGTTGTCTAACGTATTTCAACGTTGACAACCTGATAATGTGCTGACTGGGTCTGTCGAGTTCGTCTGAGTGGTATTGATTGTGATGGAATGATGAGAGAGATTTCTGAGAAACACTTCCTGTGGAAGTATCTATAGAAAATTAAAAGGTCACCTACTTATCTATGAATGGAATCTGGAAGCATCATCATATGTTTGGGTGCTGAACCCCATATGTGAAAAAAGTTCTCTGAAACTGGCCGTATCTGTGCTCTGTGGATCATGAGATGCTGTTGAAGTGTGAAGTAGATTCTCGCACGGAAAAAAATCGAGTTTTTATGAAGCAGCTTTTGCGATAAATCTGGCAAGATTTTCTCATGGAATATATTTGCTGATAGACCGAGCATCGATATAGTGATCTTGGTGGGAATGATGGTACCATCAGACATCAGAACTGAGTTTTGACATTCTAGAGAAGATGAAGGCTTGACTCTCAGTAGCGTTGCATTCAACAAGGTTGTTGGTTTGTCAGGCTGTTATATCAGCAAGATCGTCAATGACAGCGTTGGTCTGCTGTCATGAGTTTTGAGTTTTCTGGGAAGCGATGAGGATTCTAGAAAAAAACGCTGTATGGAAAATACTTCCGTCTGCAAAGCTGTGGATAGGGCTAATTGGTTGCTGCCAATAAATCACGGATATAAGGTACAAAAATATGTTGGTGCCAAAATTGATTCTTGTAGAACGCCAGAAATGAAAGCCATGGTATCAGGTATACATCGTCCACCACAAGAACCGATCTTCCCAAGAGGAACCTCGATAAAAGATATCATAGCCGAGGTGGAAAGCCGTATGATGGTAGTTTGTGGAGGATTCCTTGGTTCCAAACACAGTCGAATGCCTTTGATATATCCAACACCACAGCTAGATATTCCACTCGTTTTCCATACTTTGAAACTTGCCATATATGGGTGACGTGAGCGAGTGAATACCCAGTTGATCACTGGTGGCGGAAGCTATATTGCATGTCAAGCTTTCCGGATATTTGATGAGGTGGATGTTGATGAATTTCATCTCTTTTGAGATGAGTAAACAAAAAATTGACCTTCTCACCTTCTCTAGAGATTGGTTGGACTCCAGCTATCTTCCACCAAGTTGAAAGAATATCTGACTTGTACAGGCTGATAAATATCTTGCAGGGAATGGGTGTCAAATATGATACACACTTCAGAGAGAAATAGGTAGAATTTCATCAGGAACCTTAGCCCCATTAGTTGTGAGACCAAGCAGAATGCTATTTATAGTACGTTGGCGGAAAGCAATTCTGGGCATACGACTTTCAACAAGTGGTTTGTCTAGCGGTACTATTCCAATTCCAGGTGGAGTATGCTGTGAACATCAGTGCAAAAATGTTTGCTTGCCTTCTCGATGTTAATTCTGATGTGCTGTCAGCTTTAGAGAGGGGCGGAAATGAACTATCAGTGACATTCCTTTCGACTGCTTCAGCGAGGAACCAAAACAAATAGAAGCCATTGAGTCAATTTCTCGATGCATCTATTTTCTGGCTGCTGCTTTTTCTGGCTTCAACAAATTCTACTCTAGTCACGAGGTTAGGGTTTTGGGGCCAGCGATGGTAGGCTAATTGTTTCAAGGCAACAGGTATAGAACAGTTTATGTTGGAATCAGGTTCTGAAGTTAATGATTCCCTCAAAGAGTGAGGTATGTGTAAAACCATATTCTATGCCAAAGAAACTCGAAGCAAAACATGTGTAGCCAGTCCCAATCCCCTGAGCTGTAGAGCTATACAAGACGTAAATGGATGATAGTGAGATCTTTGGATTTCTGAGCCTATATCAAGCATCGAAATGTCATTGTATTCGGGCCACAATTTAACAGCCAATTGATAAACAAATATCAAATTTTGATACATAGTTGATTAGAGAATTTGAAGGCGAATACGATAGGCTACGAAAATATATAGGGTGCCATTTGAAGAAAAAAGCCAGGTCCAGTTCCAATCAAACAGGTGGTTAAAGAAAATTGTCATTGGGTTCAAGGGCAGCACCATCATCGATTCTATGAACCTTGTGAATTTCAAATTTTTTTCTCGTCGAATGAAAAAACTACAGGCTGTTACATGTCTCCTGTGTCACCCGGTATATATACGCGCATTATTGGTACCACACCATGAGCAACCCATAAAGCACAGATAAACAATATATTCATATACGAAAGAGAGGATTTACTCATCGAGAGACGAGTGACCGGCATCTTTTGTGTGGTTCTGGCAGAACACTAGTTACTTTCGCTCTTCATTTTTGCGTGTATCAATCGATGTCTAGTGATGAAACCATCAAAATAGACATTCGAGGAAACAGGAGCTGAAAGGTAGGCCTACCGCACTACATCGGACGAAAACATCCAGGTCCATCATACACAACGATACAGTCCACTCTGGTGAGTCTACTTACCTTCAACCTTCCCTCGTAATTCGTTAGTTCGTTATGCAACACGTATAATTTTTCAGACAGAAAATTACGAAGTAATGTTGTTTCATGGAGATATGAGTTTTGGTAGAAAGTTGTTCGATGTATTTCCAGTGTGATTACAAATAGATGTCCTCACTAAGCTTGTTGAGTTTGCCTCAAGAAAATATTGACAGTTTCTTCAAGAAACTTCCAGTAGCACAAATTTCATTCAGGAATTTGCTACATACTGTCTCGCTGTCAAGAATATTGGGCTAATATAGGGCCAATGCCCAGTCAAGAACTACTACTGGAGACATTGCTCATATAAGTATGTATAGAGAAACTATATGTCGCCGAAAATCTTGTGGGTGTAGCATCACTATCAATGTGAGAATCTTGTCATGTGAATTGAACATCATCAGAAGTTGATATTCGGAAGCAGAATATCAAACAAATCATTTCCACTATAGATGAGATTCGAATTGAAAACGATCTATATTGTACTGAAAAAAGGCACTCAGTGTAAATCTTTTTATCCCTGAATCGTCTCGAGGCAAAAAATTTTCAAGGTATTGCGACGTGTCAAAAATGATATGATTTGGAAACAACAAAAGTAATCTTGTATAGGTATATTACCACTCATTCATTATTTATATTTATTGATTATTCTCTCATTTTCAGGTAGATCTTCAAACGGAACACATACGTTTTTCTTCACTGAATCACCATCGGGCTTTTCTTTAGTGAACTTTTCGATAATGTTATAAGGTAATCCTGCAATACCAGCAAAAACATATGCTACCGCATGATTCCAATTATTTTGGAAATTGTATGCTTTTCTTTCATGATCGAATGGTGGGTCATCGCATTGGCCATAAGGATTGAATGGAGAAATCTGAAAAAATGTGAGGAGTATTATAAACGTTAGTGTCCTCACCGGAATTTCTCATTGAAAAAAACATGTTAAATCTGTCTATTTCCTGTGACTTATGGAGAATAATTATTGCAATTGAACCTGAATACAAGCATTAGATTATGACAACTCGAGTGTCGAAATAAAAAGTGCCCCTGAAATACCTGTGAAAAATGATACAAAATGACTTATGAAACCAAATTAGGGTAATTGAAGCAAACTCATCAATTACCCGAACTGCTCTGGTCAGCTGCTGAAAGGCGGAATAAAATTTGTATATACAGGGTGAGTCAGAATAGGACCGGCTAACTTAGTTCACAGATTCCTCACCTCATTTTGTTGCAAAAAAATTCAAACTTGGTATACCAATCCAGATCAATCAGAGGAATAACAACGACTTTTTATTTCGAGATTTCGTCAACCAGTGACGTAGTGAGGGTCGTATATCGACACATTATCCTTCAAAATTTTTCTCAGACAGAAGAATTATAAAATTAGTAAATGACATCAGTTAGGATTATCAAAACTCAACCTGAAAGTAATGACATTCTGCATGCCTAAATGCAGAGTTTTCGGAGATATTATCGAAAAACTCAAAACATATGTCTCGGGGTGATATTTAGTAGACGCCTAATTTGCTGCGTATCATATTGCTGATATTATACGAGATATCGATATCACATCTCGATCTCCGGAATATTTTTGGATGTCAAAAAAATTTTCAACATTGTGTGGGTAAGTCAGAAGTTAATAGACCAATTCGAGGTTGATAGTCGTTAGCCGTCTTAAATTTGTCAGAACCATCAAACTATCTGAACAAAAGTTCTCAATGGGCATATATCACACAGAATTTATATTTCATAATTCGATAGAACTCGCACAAACTAGATCACCACCGCAAACCGTTTCTTGCTGTGAGCTCCTTACGTTTGATGAAAAATTATTGAAATCCCCGATTTTTTTAACCTCTGAAAACGAGGCGATGATGTGACGTCAAAACCCTAATACTGAAACAAGACTATTCCAGACAGAGATGAATGAGATATGATTTCTGACAGAGTGAATTAGCGCTTTTGTTACTTTCTTTAAACTATGGCGATATGAGGTTTCTACGTCATAAGAGGGTCCGTTTTCAGATGGTACAATTATTTATATCTAAAAATGGAACATTCCAGTTGATTTTTTGATTGGATTATATATGTCGTCAATCATTATTTATGTATGAAAGAATCATTATAAACATGGTTTGAGTTGAAAGTTCTACTAAGGTGTACACGCCCCGCCCATTGAGGGAAATCATGGTAACGTTTTCAATATGTCCAATAGTAGAAGTCCAGCATTATGCGATGATGGCACGCAGCGAATTATGTCTCAACCTGAAGACATATCTTTAGTTTTCTGCGAATATCTTGGGAACCTGTGCTTTAAGGCAGGTAGAATGTTCTGACTTCTAGAGGATAGGTACTCATAAGATCAACTGATGTCGTACAGTCGATCTGTCTTAAAAAAAATATGAAGGAGAATGTGGCGATATACGACCCTAAGTAAGCCACTGGTTGAGAAAATTGAGAAATGAAAACTCTATGTGAATACCCTGAATGATTTGGATCGGTATATCGGGTTCCTTATTTGTTGCTACAGGGGTCTGGAGGAATTCAGAAAAATCTCAACTTATTTCGTACTTTCGACACCCGTATCTCAGTGAGGATGCTTTCATGGACATACATTGATTGGAACTTTCCATCTTAATCTGACTCACCCTGTATAAGTTATTTTCCTATATACTTCAATATTGTCTATAGATATCGTTCTGGAATTGTGTAGGCACACAAAAGAGATGATAATGCATGAAACAGGTCCTATATCATCTGGATTGAAATACAGGATGTCATTATCTGGAGTAGGTGGGTATTGTTGTTTCAATTGATAGAACTTTTCATGAGTAGGTACGTCACTGAACAGATCCCATTACTGTTCTCCTTATTTTTACTGGTTCGCAAGTCAATGGACCGAATTCTATTCGATGTATACTTGGGAAATATTCAAATATTGATAATATCGCATTTTTACACAATATTATTTCAAACGTGAAGTATGGATGAATCCCAAAGTTTATGATGTGATATGAAAAATAATGTATACTTGACATGATGATAAATTCGAAAATAGGTCGCCTAATGCACTCACAAAAACTGTACAAATTGGCAACCGTTTTCTTGTATGCAAAGTTCAGTGCGACGTACAAAATTGAAAGGTACATTTCGCATTATTTTTGCATCACAGAAATTTTCCTAGCGTTCTGCATCCGTCCGCATGATCCCCGTTTAGTTTTTACTGGTCTGATTGAGTACACCTCAAACTCCACTGTTTCCCATGAGGAATACTCAATTGGTGTCAAATCGTGTGAGGGTGGCGGCCAGTCACAAAAGCATATTTTCCTATGCCAATCCATCTGTTTGCGAATTTTCTATTCAAATAGCGGCAACAAATAGCACATATGTCCAAGGAGTTCTAGAAAAAGATCATTAAATAGATCTGGCACCTCATTCTGAAGGTGTTTCAGATCATTAAGGTCAGTTATGGCACGATGAGGCAGAATAGTTGAAACCAAGATGATTGATATTGATTGCTGCCCACACATCAGATGCATCTTTTCAACATGTAACCAACATCGAAAGCGGAGTTTCATCAGCATGAATATTTTTAATTGCATCTAATCCAATCGAAATAGTTTCATCAATTACTCCTAATATGTCATCGTCTCAGTGTGTCCGCATATTCTCAGAGCGATATCTGTGTCAATATTGAAATATACGGCAAAATTGAGAATCTGAATTCGATTTCAACGCACTGTAGAGGCTATATGACGAAGCGTTTTATATGTATGGTTCAACGATCTCACTTTCGCCTCAGTAGTCTGCTGTATGATTCTGTGTGGAAATTTTAGGGACACCTGATATAATAATTTAATGAGCTGATTGTATTGAAATGTAATCATTTTCGCGGTGTTTTTCCACCTGAACTCACCCTGAATAAATCTCTCTCTGCTTCACATGATGGAGGATCCCACTTTCCTGTATTTTTCCTGTTAGGTTCATTTTTCATCCTGCAGTACATCCTGTACAACTCCTGGGTATCATCTGTGCTTCCCCATATACCTAAGTCGTAACTCACATAAACAGCTGCAGCGGCAAGGGCTGTTTTCATGCCGAATACAAGTAGTCCAAGTAGACCTATAATGATTATATCAAAAATATTCATTTATATGAGTAGATTATCATTCATTTTTATGAATTCATGTTCTCGAAATGATAATATATCATTAGACTGTTCGCTCATTCGAAATCAACTGTGCCAATCAAATCGAAAGGGAAATATTTCAGCTATCACATCCTGAGCTATAAATATGAAGATTAGGTATATATATCACTCAGATGTTTTAAGAAATTCAAGATTTTTCATGTTTTCTCTGTCAATATTCTAATTCTGGTTATGGATGCAATTCAATGATCTGAAACATCGGAATAATTATACATACTCTTAAATCGATATCAGGAAAATTGTGCAGCTCCATGTTTACATTTAAAACTATCAAAAATAATGGCTCCATCGCTTTGAAGAAGGAGTACGAAATTCATGTTGAAAGTATTGAAAAATGAAAAAATTGTAATAACATGAAAATTCCGCCAGTCGCGTAGAATATTGGAAGGATCAACCAGCCTCTTGCGCCTTGCGTAGGCCTCTATAGTAGGGCCAGGAACGTTTATTTAACATAATTTGGTGAGGTGTATAGTGTCTAACTTTTCCGATGAATATAACGTTGACACGTCAATTACTTTCAGAGTACTAGGACTACAAGGTACAAACAATGTTTGGATTCTCATCAACCGATATGTTTTGAGATTTTTTGTTTCAGTTTCTTATTGAACATGCCTCAAACAAACTAAGAGATAGACAAATTGGGAATAACATAATGACAGTGAATCACGGCGTATACCAACATACAGTAATAGTATATTATTCGACGAGCGTGTAATGATGGCCATTACTCATGAGAATGAAGTTTGCGACGTGAGCCGCAGGCGAACGTCGTAATCATTCGAATGAGTAATAGCCATTACACGCAAGTAGAATACTATACTTTTTCTATGACTGAGTGATGAACTGGTTGAGTTCATCAGCAGTGAATATCTTCGCTTTCTTTAAGATATATCCATCAGATTTCTTTTTTAGAAATGCTCGTGATTTCAAATATTTGTCAATATTCACATGATTTTCCATTGAAATTGTGCTTCTTAGTATAAGCATGGAATACTGTGACCACAACGAGGATGCTTTGTGTTTAGCTGCTAATTCGCCAAAATAGGCTAGCAGTACATTATCCGAAAACGAATTTGCAAGTTTTGCTTTTCGCCAAACCACTTCATACCTTTTTTTAGATTCCTCGAGCAAAAGGCTGATTGTACTTGAATTGGCAGCATTCGAAACTTCTGATGGTGGAGAGCAGTTGAATTCATTTTCGCTTTCTGAATCCATATTTGTACAAAAAGTCAATTCTAAATCACGCCAGATAGCTATTGTCAAATTATGACATTTCATGACGAGTCTGATTCAAACGTTTCACTGCTTGCCCCATATTATCATTACAACTGGTGTCAACTGTTTTGTAGGTAATGAATCTGCTTTGTTGCTGATTGGTCATAGCCTGTTGTGTAAAGGCTGCATATAATTCGTCAGAACGTATTCTATCAACACCGTATTATATCAAAATATATTCGATCAAAATGGTAATTCAACAGAACCGTAATTTAACGGAGCAGTAATTCATCGGCATGCAAAACATCATAACGTAATCTATCATGTTGTAAAATGAAGGAATGTACTTCATAAGAACGTAAAACATCATTCCGTACTTTATAGAAATGGTAATTCATCATAACCGTATTCCATCAGAATGGTATTTCATCAGAATCGTATTCTGACAGCACGGTGAATCAACAAAACCGTATTGAATAAAAGAGGCAATTCATCAGAACCGTATTTCGTCGCTTCAGTAATATATCATAATGGTAAATCGTCATGATGGTAAATTATCAGAACTGTAATCCGTCGGAATATTATTTTAGCAGCAGTGTATAGTATCGTTACTGTAAAACATCATAACCGTATTTTAACAGAACTGTAAATCATCAGAACTGTGTTTCATAAGAACCGTAATTCATCGCTTCCGTATTTCATCAGCATATCAATGTATCATAATCGTATTCTATCAGAACGCTAAATCATCATAACCGTATTTCATCAAAACCGTATTCCATCAGAACCGTATTGTATCAGCACGGTATTTCGTCAGAATGGTAATCCATCGTCGGTACAGTGCCCTATCGGGAACGGAGTATCGATTTTCTGTCCGCTTTTCAGGTATGCTATGCGATGGCGCTGGTGAATGCATGTAAGATAAAATAAGTATCTGATCAGAATAACTATTCTAACATGGAATATGTTATTCTGAATGAGATCTCGATAGAATTTCACCTCAAGAATCTTTGTAAGCTTCTCAATATAGCTTCTCAATGTGAGATCGTATATTTTTTATATTCTTATTGTCGGTGTTTGATAAGTGTATAGAGGGGCAGTTAGTTCCAACTGCCTGCGTGCGGTATCAATTATCAGGAATTCAGTTGTACCTACGTAAATTAGATTGAAAAAAAAACCTTATTCAATTTGGAATTTCCTTACACTCTGTAGATATGCATCTTATCGAAATGTTATATCTATACAAGAATATATAGAGAAACAAGGTGCTTTCAGAGTCAGAATGAGATGAATCGATGAAAAATTTCATGCGTATACAGGGTGAGTCACAATAATTTGAGCCCGTGACGAATTTCAAGATCATCAGATAAATAACCTAATTTTGAAGTTGAAAGTTCGTATCACCGTATATCCTGAACTCAATCCGTTCTGTGATAAGGTGTCAGGAATTGGATTACGATTTGAAATTTCAATAGGCTATCGACTGCTGAATTAGTTATATTTATTCAAATTTTTTTGACCCATGGAGTACTTACGGTCGCATATGACCACATTATTCTACATATCACCATTTTTAGACATCAGAATTATTCAACATTAGTTAGGCTGTTTACATCACACATATTTCATGAACCTGAACTCTCAAGTTACCGAGATGAATGCAAAAATCTAAATATTTCACATCCCCATTCAGAATAATGATTATATGTCAGTTGTCACTTTGCCCGCAGTGAGATATAAAAAATGGAATCACTTTTTTTGATTAGGTTCGGATGGAATTTTTAATGTTTCTACCTGATTCTTTGTTCATCGTTCGATGACTATTTTCATATTGTATCCACACTTTCCAAATTATTTGTTCTTCAACACTTTAACTGTCGCAGTCACACAACCCTTTTGAGTTCTCATGAGCTTGGACAACACCATGCACATATTCGTTGCATACGTCAACAATTCAATGTATTTACCCACATCTTGCAAGCAATATCAAGGATATATTTCTTCAGGGGTAGCTGGAACCACACTCAACATGTTGTTTTCAAATGCAACTCTATGGCATGTGACCACTCATTGGAAATCAGGTGGATAGAGGAATCTAGCAAACGGGCAAAAGTTTAGGTTTTTGTACGTCTCCGAACATTTTTTCAAAAATGATTTTTCAAATTTTTGACGGATTTTTAGTTACTTCGAAAGAACACAGAATTCAACGAACGCACTGTATTCAAATTCTATGTGTGATATATCTTTGAATCCAGCTTCCCATGGATATTTCAGCAATTGAATAATATTTAGGATGTACCATTTGAAAAAATCATCGAGGACGTCATGAATCAGACGTGAATCACCCTGTATATTTGATGTCTGCCTACAAATGCGACCTGCTTCAATAGATTCCTCAAAAATGAATAGTTTGGCTAAACATGAATGTATCCACTACTACTATACGAGAATCCTGCTCGATGTGACGTATTTGCTGCATAACAACCCTCTATGTGTGATAAATGTTTGAATTCAGTTTTCCATAGAGATTTCAAAAATTGAATAATATATAGAAAAAATTCACGCGGACATAATAATTCCAACTTGAATCTCCCTCTATATTTAATTTTCCTGTATGAATCTGGCGAATTCAAATTGAAAGTCGAATTATTCCAAGAATTTGAAGAAAAGTTATCGAAAAATAAACGAAATATAGATTGACCGACAAAAACGCCCCAAGCCAAACAAGCACCGTTAGTTATTATTCGACTTCTATGAACAAAAAATAGTAGGAAATGCGAGGAAATGGCTCATCAGATACTAGGAGAAACATATTTTTTTCTGTGACGGGAAAAAAGTTTGGCATTTCATCCCTGTTGGCAGGTTATAAAATGTCACTTTCCATAAATTACTTTTTTCCCGTGGGAAAAAAGTGAGTACTTCTTTCCCGGATATATATCACATATATATACACTGTTGATGGCTTTTGTTGTGCTATAGTTCCGAAAAATGAGTCAATAATACCGTCTCCGAGAAAGAACTGCAAGTCCTTTTATCTTCCATTCGACTTCGCGGTTACGTATATTGCTAAATAATCACTGAATTCGCAATTTCTTGAAATAAAATCACAAAATTAGACTGACAGAAGTGACATCAGATATTTGATTACTTCAAATGAATGATAAAGATGCCTACAACGCGGTGTCCCTACTGTTAAAAACTTATAATTTCACGTCGATAATTTTCAGATATCAAAATAATGTAATATTTTCTCAATAATGATTCGTCCTTTCTTCTGTCACAGAAAAAAATAGTGTATTATACACGGGAAAAATATCAGATTTTAGCTCACGGTTTGTTGTCTCCCTCCGCTACGCGTCGGGAGACAACACAACCTGGAGCTAAAATCTACAACTTTTTTCCCTTGTATAATAAATAACTATTTATAATTCAAACTCCCCTAACAACACAGGGATGTCCTAGGTACGTCCCTTCTGTGTCCCGCGGTACAAGGACATGATTGGGGCATCCAGGGGATGTCATGCAGTGGTTGTCGAGTTGGCATCCCGCCCGGTACATCCCTAGGTTATCCTATTCGTGTCCCTGGAATATCTGATATCGATTCACAGTCATTGAATGTATCAGAACTTCTTAAGAAATTACCATTTTTCGCAAACAGAAATCGTAAATGCATAATGCCCCTCATTTTTAAACAAGA